GGGACTCAAAGGGGATGTATTAGCTGGGTTCCCTGGTTAGAGCCACCAAACAGGTTCAAAGAGAGATTTGTGGGGACCAAAACCCAGATATAGGTAAAAAGACCAATAAATATGTGAAAAAGACAATCTTGTGGAATTGTTTGAGCATTGGACAAAAACTCTAGAGACCAGAGTTCCAATCCTGACTTACCTATGAAAACTTGACATTGGGCAAGTTCACACTCCTGCTCTTCAAAAGCCTCATGATAGGTTTGCTTTAGGGTTCTCATAAATCAGATATGACTTAAAGGCATACCAAAGTGATGTTTCCATGATATACTCAAAACCAAGGAATACAGAGTTTTCTACTTATATTACAGAAAAAATAGGGAAATTTGGAAAATGGCTTAGGTTTCATGGGAGAATATACCATTAATATACTATGTCTCAAAGTAACTGTGGAACTGCACCAAGGTCTTTGGGTCTTTCCCATTTCCATTGTAATATGATCTTGCGGGCAAACATTGATCAAGGTACTTCAAAAGAAGAGGACATTCTGCATTGTCTAGGGCAGGACTCCTTAAACTTTTCCACTCGGGACCCCTTTTGGCCCAAGAAAACTTTACATGACCCTAGGTATATAGGTACAGTATATAAAACAGGTATAAAAATCAAACATTTATGATAACAAGTCAGCATTTGCAAAGTTTGCAAAACATGCTGATTTCTCTTTTTATGAAGCACAGCTGAAGCATCTTCTGCAGAGTCGTCTGTAAACATAGCACAATAGATTTGTGTAAATGTCTGAAACAGCCATTTTGTATTGATACCCAATTTTCTGGGACCCCAACATTAAACTAAAGGGGACCCCATTTGGGGTCAGGACCCACTGTTTTAAAAAGGAGAAGGAATCTACAAACTTCATCAAAGCCGTTTCCTCAAAGTGCTGTCTTGAGCAGCTATTGCTTCCTTAACTTCAGGAGAACTCACCACTTAGCTGGCTACCCACTCTCTTGATTTTCCCTTGACATTCAGAGCCATTCATTTAACTTCCCTAGTAGTATCACATCTATAAGATCACTTCTATGCACTACCTCCATTGACACTGCTTCTGCTGCCCAATAACAAGAACCGGAGAACTGCTACCATCGGTAAAGAAGCAAAAGGGGATCCAATGCTGAGGACCCCATAAGGGGGGAACTGGTTCTGATCATGCAAGCATAAATCCCAAATACAAACATATAAGCAAACACATCTCTTTGCTATCCTGGTCATATACCCCTTGCCGACATCTCTCTGTTGCTCATAGAAATTGAATGTTTCTTAAGATCTCCTTATTTTTCTACCAAAGTCTCCTTCATGCTACTCTTTCATTAATGTTCCTAGTGGTAGCAAGCAGCGGTAGCTGAATGCCAGCTAATAATGTTGCTATTGTCAGATGGCTTCCCGTACTTTCAAGTTTTTCTGCGGAGCCTGGAAAATTAGTAGATGTGGTTTGCTGTCTGCCATCAACAGGAATTCATATTTATACAGCGTCCTGGCAATTATAGTCCTGATTAATGATAAGTGCCCTGCTGTCTGCAATCTATTCCTTTGAGGGAACCACACTTTATGTTCCAAAAATGTTTTATACCTCTTAGTGATGCATTATTATTCTTTGCAGATCAAAGATCATGGTCGTCATGGAAACTGCAAAAAGTGGAAAGCCAGTCATGACATAGCAATGGCATAATGGGGAGGATCTGCTGGGAAATCACTCAGCAGCCCAGGGTTTTGTGTTGGAAATGCTTGGGTGAATTTAAGTGGAAAGCCAAGTCGTCCCCAAGATCTAAAAGCATTGTAGTATTAAATACAAAATATCAGTAGCTGTTACAATCAACATTTTTGACTCCGTGCTATGCAGCAGTATAATTTTTCTATTTCCACCCTCATATAAGGTACATGAATGCCCCAGTTTTAATATGATCAGCTTCTAAATGCCACAGCAAGCTTTTGTTCACATATAAATCAAGTGTTAGCACTATGAATGGGCACTGTTAAGTCTCAACTAACTTCAGTTTCATTGATTTTAATGGATTTACTCTATATAGGTCCAAAGTTAAATTTAGCCTTTGGCATCCAATAATAATAATAATAATAATAATAATAATAATAATAATAATAATAATAGTAATGGCTTAAAAGAAGTAGATGGGAAATTACCTCCACAAGAAGAAATGGTATTTTGGAATGAGAATGTAAATTGAAGTGGCTCAGAAGGGAGGGGGGGGCACAGAGGTGGGGAAAAAGTATACAAGATATATATACACTTATAGTTGATGTAATGAATTGAGGACAGAATATAAGAGTATTGAAGGTATTGATATATTCTAAGAAAACCAATGAAATATATATTTTAAAAATAATAATAGTAATAATAATACTTCATTTATATTCTGCCCTCTCTCCCTCTATGTAAAATTCATTTCCTTGAATTCAGTGTGCAAAATCTTAACATTTTACAGCCTAAAAAAATAAGCATAGTATTAAACATCTCTCCACCTCATTCACAATGTCAAGGGAAATAATATTATACACATCACCCCACCTTATGGCAACCCCAGAACTTTCACATAGCTATCTAAGGCAAGGACTACTCAGAGGTGGTGGTTGCCCACAGAGGTGGCCCTAGGTAATTTTCAATGGTAAGCAAACAGTATTTTGCCCCCCCCCCCCCAACCAATCACTGATACATATTTTCTGTTCATCGTGGGAGTTCTGTGTGCCATATTTGGTTCAATTCCATCATTGGTGGAGTTCAGAATGCTCTTTGAATGTAGGTGAACTATACATCCCAGTAATTACAACTCGCATATGTCAAGGTCTATTTTCCCCCAAGAGTGCCTCAAGAGCGCCCCTGGGCAAAATCAACTATACTTCAAATGCTTACTTTGTGTAATGGGTTGAGCCGCCCCTGGTTGCCCAGGTCCTTTCACTGAGGCCCCTTCTACACTGCCCTTTATCCCAGGATCAGATAGCAGATTATCTGCTTTAAACTGGATTATATGAGTTCCCACAATCAAATAATCTAGGATAAGCAGATAAACTGGAATTAGATCCTGGGATATATGGACTATGTGGCCTGAAATATAGCCAATAGCACCAGGCACTGTTTGGCAGTTTCCTGTCCAAGTATTAATCAGGACTCCCTGCTTAACTTCCAAAATCAGGCAGAATAGGCTTGTGCACGGATTCATTTGGACATTTTCCTTCAACTTGTTCGGCTGGTTTGGAAGCCTGTAGCGGCATGGGCTCCACCACCATTTTTTGACTGGCCACAACAGAACAGCTGTCGAAATGGTCTATCTTTCAATAATGGCATGCTACAGCACAATGCAGGAGCTATTTTGAAATTGTGGAAGGGAACAAAATCAAGCATACGACTCTACTGCTGGGATCTTATAGGTTTGCTTTAATTTGTCCAAAAAGTGGGTGGAGGAATGACCACTGTTTCTTAAATTTTCATTATATATATATTGTTTCTGTTTCTGTTTCATGATGTCCTTAAGAGGAATCTTCAAGCTTCTCCTCCTCCTCCTCCTCCTCCTCCTCCTCCTCCTCCTCCTCCTTTTTGCAGAATTTGTTCAGGACTGCCATTACCGTCCTACAAGGGCCCATCCAGGCAGGTCCAAAAAGCAGAATCTGTCTCGGTTTTTACCGGATACATCCAAATGACGCCTCCAGTAAAAATGAATTAATTCAGAACAAATGAAGGTTTCCTTGGTTTGTTCCAAATTAATTAAATACTTGATTAGATCCGGGCCTTTCTGAAGGGCCCAGGTTTATTAAAATATTGAGCCTATAGGGACTCACTACCTCGACATCCCAGGAGTCAGTCTCCACAGCCATCTCACTTCTTTGGGCTTTGAAAAGCCCAGAGGAGCAGGATGGCGCCCACCCCTTCTCCCCAAGCCCCAAATTTAGCCCTGAAAAGTTACTTAAAAGGTACCTGGCTGCCATAAAGGTTCTCCTCACGTCCTCCTGGTGTAAAGAAATGATGCACGAGAAGATGGGGTGGGGATTTTCCTCCTCGCCCCTCCCGTCTCCTCAGGCACAGATTTTGACACTGCCTGGAAGCGCCCTGAGGCTGTGAAAGTATGTGACTTGCCCAAGGTCACTCAATTGTTTCCATGACTGAACAGGGAGTCAAGCCTGGTCTCCAGAGCCATAGCGCAACAACCAAGCCATTACACCACTCTGGTTCTATATATATCATTAAGACATATATCATTAATATATATCATTAAGATCAAAGCAAATTCAGATAAATATGAGTTCAAATAGAATAATCAATTCATTCATTAGTGATGTTTCACAAAATTTTACACAGCAAAAGAAAAAAATCTACAGTCTATACAGACAGTTCCTGAGTTACAAACATCCAACTTACATATGACTCATAGCTAAGAACGGAGATGAGGCAACAAGAAGTGAGAGGAATCTGCCTCTAGGAAGGGAAATTCTCTCCTGAAAGAGTTATCATGGGAAAAGATGTCTCCACTAAAACTTTAGAACCAACCTACAACAAGCTATTTTTTCCAAAATCCAAGTATCACTGGGTGAAATCTTCTGAACAGGGGCACAGACAGTAAAACAAACACCACAGGGGTGTTAACTCTTCCTTATGCTATCCAAAACCATAAGATGTATATCTGGAGTTACACTTAGAAAATATACTAGTTCCAACTTACATAAAAATTCAACTTAAGAACAAAACTTACATAACCAATCTTGCTGGGGGGGGGGGAGGACACAATAACAATTTTCATAGAGCTACTCCCTTGAATCTCTGAAAATCATTCCATTTTTGAGCAGCCTTTCAAGCTGTACTTTAAAGCTCTGACTCAATGTTTGTGCTATATAGGTTTTACCGACGCATTTAAGGAGATGAAAGAATTCCAAAGTGAATATTTTTCAAAAGGGACACATTGCCACAAACATTCGCCCCAAAAGAACCTGGCATCTGTTACTTTGGTACTTACGAAGAAAAGGGTCTGGAGTGGACAGATTGACGCTATCACCATCGTCAGCACTTTTGCCGCTCGAAACTTCATCATCCGATTCCCACACAGAGAAGAGAGAGGAGCTGCCAACTTCTTCAAACTTCCTCATTAAAATTCTACTCATAGCTTCCACATTGTCACATGTACCTGTCAGAGGAATGGGAGAAATGAAGCATGAAAACATTTGACCGCTGACCATGCTATCAAGATCTCCAAAGTCATTGCTAGAGGCAGGTTTGCGGGGAGGAAGGGGGAAGGAGTTACAAACACATTTGCTTGCTGCTTCTCCCGGGAAATTGGTACTTCTTACAGCAGTCAATGAGAATTAAAAAGCAAAGCTCAACATATTCTGGATTTCTACTCCCTTGGATAAAGGGTGTGTATATATGGTAGGATGGCCAGATTGAGAACTGGAGGGGAATCCTATATGCTTAATAGCTGTGCAGCGAAGGGAATTTCCGTGGTTCTTGCTTGTAGCACAATCAGGTAACAAACCTGCTGAAATGGCTTCTTCTATACAGCCAAAAGCCCTTTCCAGTTTTTAACTTTTACAACCCCAGTTTCTCTGTGTGTGGAGCTTTGAAATTAACAATCAATTCTAATTCAAATCAGTATTGCTCCAAGAGGAAGAATACTGTCTCCTTTTCATAAAAGTGAGAACACTTTGTGAGCCAAAGATCAATATTTCAGATCTTGGCACTTCCAGCTACAGCTGGACAATACTCGAAACTGAAATCACGCCATGCCAAAGGCAATAAGAAAAAGACCAATAATAACCATAACACAGTGCAATAACCTTAAAATGATTAGAACTGTTTGCATTCAATTTTAGTACATTTTGCTATTTAAAAAGATATTTCAAAGGCATAGTTGTTTTAGCATGCAAAGCGATCTTATAGCGTCTTAGGCCTTCTGCATTGCCATATAATCCACATTATTAAAGTAGATAAACCACACCATCTGCTTTGAATTGGATTATATGAGTCTACACTACCATATAATCCAGTTCAAAAGCAAATAATCTGGATTTAATATGGCAGTGTATTTATTTTATTTTATTTATTTACAATATTTATATATTGCTTTTCCACCCCTGGGGGAAGTTAAAGCGGTTTACACAGAGATAATGACAAAATTAAATGTCTTTCAAAAGTAAACCAAATCTGAAATCAACACCATATAACTAAGCATAAAACCAATAGGACAATTATCTATAAATTAAGAAAAAAGTGCAGAAGGGGCCTTATACAGTAGTAATTCAGAAAAAAGCTGGTATGAGTTGTATCATCTAGCCTCCATCGCAGATAGCACTTACTCCTGAATATACATGCAAAAAAAACTATGGGCCCATTTAGACAGGACCAAAATGCAGAGCATGTTGGGCTTTTACCTGAGGCGTCCAAATGATGCTTCAGGTAAAAGTGAATTAATCTGATACCCCATTTGACCCAAATCTTCTGAAAGGCCAAAGTCTAATGTGGTATTGGGCCTGTGGGGACTGATGCACTGGTAGTCTTTGGATTACCTGGGGATCAGTCCCCATTGCCATCTCACCTTTTTGGGCTTCCAAAAGCCTGGAGGAACGAGATGGTGCCCCCTTCCCAACCCCTCCAAAAGTCTTAAAATTAAACAAAAGCTTACGAGGCCACCATTACACTGCTCCTGCCCACCCCCAGTAAGTTTTTGTTTAATTGAAAGGCTTTTTTTGTGTGTGTGGGGGGGGGGGGATCCCATGCCATCTCAGTAGCCTGGGTATGGGGGTGGGGACTCAAAAATGCACCCAAACAGGTTTTAAAAATCTGCTTTGGCATGGATTTGACTCCTGTCTGGAAGCACCCTATGTGTAAATTGAAACATAGGTTTAGAAAAAGAAAAGGGTATGGAGCACTGGGTAATGTCCTACATATTGCCCTTCACAATATCGTGTATTATTTGACCTGGAACCAAATAGTAGTTTCAATTGTTGAAATTTTAGTTTTACAGATATATTTGCATCCTTCATTATCATTCTAAATGGCTGAAGAAAACTGTATAAGGCATGATGTATTTAATATTGTTACTTGTGTACACCTGAATAAAATTTTGTCTTTGAGTTGATATTCCACAAATAAAGACAGAGAAGAGATGTTACAAGATGCGGTAGGTTTATAATGGTTGTACAGTCAGAACAAAATCCTGACTGCAGTAGTTCTGTATGTCTTGGAACTCAGCAGTTCCATTTACAGAACAATTCCATGCATATTTATGCAGATGTAATTCCCACTGTGTTCTCTCGGGAAAATGCATACTGCACGGGAGTTCAGTCTTATACCAGCATCTACTATTTATTTATTTATTTATTTGCCATATTTATATCCCACCCTTCTCACCACAAAGGGGACTCAGAGAGGCATTTACACATAGGCAATGATTCAATGTCATAAATCAAAATATAATTAAAACATATACATTAAAACCAAAGAAATTAAAACATCTAAAGTTCACACCAATTGTTAAACCCACATAGTCCGATGAAGGTGGAATACTTCTGTTTCGATATGGCATTAAGTAACGTGTATTACACAAACACAGTACATGTTTACAAAATTGTATAGGTTAAATATCCCTTATCCAAAATGCTTCAGAATGGAGAGGTTTGGGTTATGGATCACCCCTTTAGATTTTAGAATATTTGCTTATACATGATGGGATATCTTGGAGATGGGACCCAATTCCAAAGGCAAAACTTATTCGTTTTTCATATATATCTTACAGATATAGCCTGAAGGAAATTTTATAACGAATATTTTACATCATGCAGCAAAGTTTGTTTATTCTGTATAATCGCAACACAAAGGTATTATTATATTGCAACCCCATGTGGATGATTTGGAAACATTTTGGATTTTCCGATATGGGGTGCTCAACCTGTATTAGCAAGGCAAGAAGTCACAAATACTGAATTTTCAGCAAAGTTTTGCTTTGCGCATAAAATGTAGAATGCAAAACATTTTTAACACACAAAGACTGCTCAATGCCGAATTGCACAAAGAAAAATCTTAATGAACCTTGCTTTGTAAGAGATCTATGAATTCATTAAGCCATAGTTATAATAACTATAAGCATCTAATTGTGAAATTTTGCTGGATCTCACTATTTCTACCAGAATTTGTGTCTTTTTCTACTGCAGCCCACACCCCCATACATCCCAAAAAACAGTTCTGAAGGGATGTGGAACCATATGACACACACTACAGTGATCTTTAGCAAGAAAACAAAGGGAAGAATGACACAATTCTATTGGCACTAGATGCCAAAATACACCTTAGGATCAGTTCCAGCCCAGTTTACCTGTCCAAATGTATCTCCCTTGATGAATAATCTCAGATGTTAAGATCGTCCGAGGAGGCCCTGCTCTCAATCACACCTCCTTCACAGTTGAGACTGGTGGGGACAAGAGCCAGGGCCTTCTCATTTGTGGCTCCTCAACTATGGAACTCCCTTCCCAGGAAAACTAGATCAGCCCCCTCCCTCCTGACCTTCAGGAAGAAAGTGAAGACATGGATGTGGGACCAAGACTTTGGACAATGATTCCCAGTGCAATAATTATCTCCCAGTGTAATAATGAATAATGCAATTGACAACGGGAATGGCTTCTGGAATATGCCTTTGGATTGTGTGATTTTAATTAATCATTTTAAGATTGATATGTTTTAATTATGTGGTTTTAAAGTATATGTTGTTTATTCTGGAGCAAATTACAGGGTGTGGTCAAAACCCCTGTTCAAGGAGCTCCACTGGCTGCTGTTTATCTTCTGGTCCCAATTCAAGGTGCAGGTTCTTACTTACAAGGCCCTAAACAATTTGGGACCCACCTACCTGCGTGACCGCATTTCTGTATCCGAACCCACATGATCTCTTTGATCTTCCTAAAAGGCTCTTCTCTCACTCCCGCCTCTATCACAGGTGTGACTTGTGGGGACAAGGGAGAGGACCTTCTCTGTGGTGGCCCCCCGGCTCTGGAACTCGCTCCCCAGAGAGGTTAGACAAGCCCCCACTCTGGCAGTCTTCAGGAAGAGCTTGAAAACTTGGCTATTCCAGTGTGGCTTCACTGAATGAATGTACAATAATCCCTAGACTTGACCAATTCATGCAGAATGCCCTCGGAAGCACTTTATTTTTCCTGTTAATACAATCAACCCTATTTTATCCTTCGGTTTCCCTATCCAGATATATTACATTGCTGTCTCACCCAGTGTTTTAATTTTTAATTCTATTAGAATTGGCCCTACCCATAGTGTTCGACTTCTGTGTTTTAAATGTCGTGATTTAATATTGTTGATGTGTTATTTATAATTGGTTTTGTATTGTATTTTTATTTTTACATTTTATGGCTGTGTTCTGTTATATTGATGTACTGTATTGCTGGGCTTGGCCTCATGTAAGCCACCCCGAGTCCCCATGTGGAGATGGTGGCAGGGTATAAATAAAGTTTTATTATTTATTATTATTCTGTATATGCATTTATGGCAATGAATTGTGCCTTTGTTGTGAGCCACCCTGAGGCCTCTTTGGGATGAGAAGGGCAGGATATAAATGTAGTAAATGCAATCTATATAAATAAAAATATAATGTTTGTTTGTGAAATTAACATAACTCAAAAACCGCTGGACGAATTGCCACCTAATTTGGCCCCAAGACACCTACTAACCCAAGGAGTGACCATCACTCAAAAATTATGATTTTTGTCATTTAGGAGTTGTTGTTGCTGGGATTTATAGTTCACCTACAATCAAAGACTCCACCAATGATGGAATTGAACCAAAAGTGGCACACAGGACTCCCATGAGCAGAAACAATAATGAAAAAGAAAATGTCAACCAAAATGGTAAAGGTTATGGTGGAGAGTGTGCTGGAATACCCTTTTTTTGGTAATTTTTAAGCAGAAGCTAGAAGACTATCTGTCAATTGTGTATCCTTGCATGGCAGAGGGTTGGACTGGATGGCCCTTGTGATCTCATCCAACTCGACGATTCTATGATACATGAGTAGCTGCATCGTCAATGTTTGCAAATGTCCAGGAATAAATGGTTTTGCACCTTCCCGAGTGCCACTTTGTCTATAGCTTTTGAGAGCTGCCGGCACAGAGCTAATTATAACCCAGCTGA